ATCTTGAAAGCTGAAGTGGGTTTGGGGAATGGAAGAACAAGAACATCTTCTTTACCACCAAAAATGGTAACATAAGACCCTTCTTCACTCATGCTTGTCATCCGCTCGTGAATACCGTCCAGTCAAGTCTTTGTTCTTTTATTCTTAAATATGGGTGCTAACCAGATTCCCCATGTTATATGCGAGGTCAATAAAATTCTCCAGAGAGTGAGTTTCTGATCATAATGACCACCTAAAGTTGGATTTCCAGTTGTAGTTTTTAGTTTGGGGTGCCAATAGTAGCATAGTTGCTTAGTCGTCCTTCCTCTTACGTATTACAATTTAGGTGCTTTTCATGCTGCCTTTAGCGGAAAACGGACTTAATGGACAAATAAGGGATAGGCAAGAATCTGTTCTTGAACTCTAGAGAACAGGCGGAAAGAGGTTCATCAGAGCGATAGGGAAAGCTTATAGAGGGGTGGTCTTACTACGACAAGTGAAGCCAGGGTTCCCTTTGTTCGGTGTCCGGGGAAGAGAAAGGAATCTATTCGGGAAGCGCTTACCAGCCCCTTTACCGATACCAAGGGGAAGCAGGAATTAGACCAATAGGGCACTGCTCTCCGCCTGTCGTAACAACAACAAAAGTCCATACCGGAATTTCATTACCTTATTCCTTAAACCCTAAAACGGAGACATTGGTACAAGAGGAGGCTCGAGAGACCTCGAGCGTAATATACGCTACCATCGGAGAGACTTTAGCCACATCTTAACCCATGGTTGAAGAATGAGGCGATCAAGAAAGTCGTGGGCCTCGTAGTACCCGCATACGACAGCTCTGTGGAGCTTTTCGGGTCGAAAACCTGTTCGACGTCAGAACCGATCTCAAAACCCTAATATCACCCTCTGAAGAGAAAGGACTTTCTCTATATCTATATCTATGCAACTAGTTCTTTCACTTGCTTCCAAATCCATCCATCTTACTTACTCAAAAGCTTTGAATATTCTACTCGAAATCTTGCTTCTAGCTTTGGGCACCTCTGACATAAACAGAAATAGCGTATATACAAGGCTAGCCTTTTCTCTCAAGCGTCTTGGTATTGGATCCGCTCTTCTGTTAACATGAACATGAATTAGATTCTATTCTAATTCTTTATTCTTAAGAGAATCCCCCACCCGAACCATTCTTAAGACCACCAAGCTCTCTCGAATGAATTCGACTCTTTCTGCTTTCGAGCTACACCGGGGGCAAAATCTTTTCCCCACTAAGACGTGCATCTTTATGGCTATATCGTCCTGAAGACGGATGCGACGGGAAGAAGTGGCATTTGGAAGTGTTGCTGACTTAACATTTAGGTTTCGGCATAACAAAGCTTGCACTGTCTTTTCGCACTTAGGCGCACAGCGTGCCATTGGTAATGATTCTACTACGGTGCCACAAATTCGCAAGCTGATCCTAAGTAATCGTTGTTGTTCATTGGATTCCGGAGGAACTACTTCGTTAGGATTGGGGAATTGCTGCGATTCTTCCTGAATAGCCTGGATTCTCCCGTCGAGAGTCACTTTGAAAGTATTACCTAAACTCTTCCGACTGAATATGATAAAGCCTATAAAACATAGAGCTACTATCATTTCTTCATTATAAATTGAGATCTTCTTCGAACTTGATGCACAAATAGATAGAATAGCAGCAAATAGCATCTTTCTAGCCTGCATATTCGTGGAACTCAATCTCATTTAGAAAGCCTGATCTCTATCTTTCAGCAACTGAACGGGAAGTGGTTTAAGAATAAGAAAGGACTTTAGAATCGGATGCGCTCGCCCAGCGAGAAAGGCCCTGACCCTGCCAACCAAGTATCAAAAAGAAAGAAGAGAAAGAAAGGAGAAGAGAACTTCGTATTTTGGTAACTCTCTAGGAGTCATCTTTAACCTTGAATGCTATTAATAGATTCTACAGCAATAGTCCCTCGGACTCGGAAAGTAATAACGAAAATAGCTAACCCAATAGCAGATTCCGCAGCTGCCACCGTTGGAACCAATGAAGCAAATGATTGACCCATCATATCATCCGAAGAAACAGAAAATACCAAAAAGTTCGAATTCACAGCTAATAACATTGATTCAATTGGCATTGACATAATAGGAATATTTCGTCTATTAAGGAGGATTCCCCGAATACCTGAAATAGAGATAATCATAGAAAATGTGAAATATTTGATAGGATCCATTTCAGGAACGTAGAATGTAAGAGAAATTCAAATTTGAAACAATACGTCAGCTCTTCTACTTGAAATATCCTTCAATTATGCAAGAAATATGATTTTTTAGACTCATGTTTCCCTTCCCATCCTGCTCCGCCGATTGTTGTGCTCGTGTCAACCAAACCCTCAAGTGTCGTAAATTTGCCCTGGGGACATTGGGTTTGTTGGCATTATAGGCAGCTTTGCTGGCGAAGCGGTTAATAAGAATTTCGACCATCTCACTTGGTGATGGAAGTTCACCCAAGTTGTGATGCCACAATCTT